CAGTTTGATAATTGAAAAAGAAAAATATTTTTTCTATTTGTTTGACTAGATTTGCAATTGGTTTTTTTTCCTTCTTCGAATTTCCAACACTACCATTTTTTGTTCTTTTTCCCTCGTTCTTTCCATTCCGCTATTTAATCATAAATTTTTTTAGAATTTCTCCTTCCAGATTATTACTGTACCTTTAAAACATATTTCTGCTTTTTTTTTCTTTGATTCCTATCTAATTATAGCTAATTTCTTCAAATTTCTTCGCTTTCGCCTCTGTGTGAAAGTTCAGACGAAAAAAAAAGGAAAAAGAAAATACCAGAAAAGAAAAACAACTGTTGTGAGGTGCAAAATTCGCTGCAGTTACACTGCATTGGTTAAGAACATAGGGAAGCTCTTGTGGTTGTCGCTCAAATGGCTAAGGGGAGGAATTGACGACCAAAGGTGATTTTTCCTTTTTTAGCCGTTTCATCGACAGAACAAACAGTTACGTAACTGATGACGACGGCAATGACGTTGATGATGATGAAATGCCGACTGTATCATTCGTTGACTTTGATAACTGAGTGAATTTTCGCTCAGCTATGATAGACAGTGTAGCCGGTTGGTCCGTTTTTTCTATATCTTTATTCGAAACGCCTGAAATACTTACTGAAGATGAAGAAAAAGTGAAATTTTAAAAAAATGGCTAAAAACACGCTGGTACAAATGGAAACAAAAAAAGCAGTATATTCATAAAATGAGTCGTTAAAACGTGCATTGAATTATGCTGGCTGTTCTATAGTTTTTGTCACCGTGATCGATCAGTGTGGGGTAAAAATAAAAAAAAAAGGAGAAAACCAACAGCAGAAACGAAAGCAAAAGCAAAAGCAAAAGCAAAAGTGAAGGTAAAAGCAAAGTTAGAAGCAAGAAAATGAAATGATTTTTAGGGACGAAAAAACGAAAAAGAGGGACAGAGAAAGAGCAGAGGGAACTAAATAATGTCTCCTAGACAAAAAGAGCCAAAATAAACATAAGACCATACTGAATGGGTGGCTGTGGTGAACAAACGGTGAACAGATAGATGGTTATCGTTGAACAGAAAAGTGACATATACAAAAGATTAATCATTTGTTTTATTTTTCAATTTACTTTCTTTATTTGGTTTCTTCTTTCTTTCTTTTCTTCTTCCCTGAAAATCTTCAAATTGCAAAATGAGAAGCAAAAATGTTAAAGAAAAAAAGATTGGAAATACAAATATTGAAGTGGCGAGCGGGAAAAACTCACAAAAAAAAAATCCAATTGAGAAGTTGTAAACTAGAAGTGTATTAAGTGATATGTAGAAAACAAGAAGGAAACTGGACAAAACGACAGAAGGTGGTGGTGGAGCCGAGGAAGGACAAAGAAGGGTAGAAAGAAGAGAAAAAGATAGAAAAAATCGTTATTTATCTTATAATTACGGTAGACTTTACTGAATTGGTTGTCTACAGGTTCACGCATCTGAGGGACAATACTGCAGATTGTCAGTGCAGAAAAGAAGACTAAAGAAAAAGAACGGTCTATCAAAATTTTCAAAGAGCAAAATGACGACGCAGAAATATCAAAAAAAAGAAAATCACAAAAAGCAAAGGAAAAAAAGATTAGTAGACGAAAATCATCAGATAGAATCAACTGAGATCCTTAAAAGAGGAGTTTTATTCAAAAATAAAATAAAAACTGAAGGAATTCTTCTTAGTTTTTTCTTTTTTTTTCGTATAAATGCGAACAAAAAATTTTTTTCACCACAGTTTCTGTTTCCTTTTTTTGGCTGTTTTTTCTTTTAATAACCAATTTCAACATAACTGCAGATAAATCGTTCTCCATTTATACACATTAAAAGAGAATGATTTCAACCGCTTTGAAAATGTCTCTCCTGTCTGCTTTTCCCTTCTTTCAGAGGAAAATACTTCAATAGTGAAAAGAAAAATGGAAAATATGGCAAAAAAAAGAGGGAAAAAAATGTGAGAAGGCCATTTTTTTTTCAACTTTACATTCGTTGATATTTACCAACAGCAACAACGAAAACAACCACACAAATAGCAAAAAAGATTTTTTTTTCACTTTTTCAAACATAAACCTAAGCATACAACAGTTAACTTGCTCTCTCTTACTCTTCTCTTCCAACTGCTTTTCCTAGGCGAAACAGATGCAGAAAAAGAGAATCACCTTCCCTCTTCCTGGAAAAAAAGTTTCTTAGAACAAATAATGGAAAAGATGGATAGGGAAAAAATAGATGAGCAAATGAAAAAAAAAAAGGAATAAAAAAGCAAAATGAGAAAACGTAATTACGACGCCAAAGACTTTTCACTATGTCAGCTGTAAAAATTTCACTTATATACCCTTCCACTGTGTCCTTCAGAAATGCAATTTTTAGGCAGTAGCAAACAACACACCGAACGACTACTAACGGACTAGCGGAAGAACAAGGTTGAGTAGATGGAGTGGCGGTACAGACTAGTGGGGCTGGCGAACAGAAGGAAAGCGGAAAGAACGGTTAAGAAGAGTGAAAAAGGATGGTGGAAGGAAAATACATTTGATATCAAAGCAGTTAATAAAGAGGCTGTTAGTTCAACAATGTTTGCAAAAGGTTATATTATTCAAAATGTACAATGGTTGAAGTTAGTTCTTACCTTTCTTTTTTCCCCACCCCCTTCCCCCTCTACTTTGCCATCTCCTCGTTCCTCTCCTCCCCCCTGTCTCGGACTTCTATAGAATTTATTGTTATTTCACGCAAATAAAATAACTAAGGAAAAAAGCCGAAAAAAACTCCTTGTAAATAAATAATGTTTATGCCGAAAAATTTTTGTATTCCAAAATTTACCATTAGAAATAATGAAAGTTTAGAACCACCATCAGCAACGATAGCAACGGCTTGTCAGCTAACAACAACAGCGGCAGCAGCAGTAACAACAGTACCATCACCATCACCACCAGAAACACTGAAAAAAGCACAGGTCAAGTTAAGCACTTAATAACCGATAGTTTATTGAAGAATACCAAAGTCTTATACAACCTCAACAACACTCTGCCGATATGGATTCAAAACGCCAACAAAAACACATTATTTTCATCAGATCAAAATTAAAGTTTTACTGTTGCTGCTAGTAGTGTTTTCAGTTTACCAGTGCAATAACTATTTTACTAGTTTTCCAATCATTACAATCTTTATACAGTTTTGAGAGCCGCAATAGCAGTAAATATATTTGGCGAAGTGGTTTGATTAGGAGCAAAAATATTTTGAAACAGTAATCAAGGTGCGAAAATTTTTTTCCTTTCTTTTTTTTACCTATATGTTTACGTAATGTGTGTTGCGATGGTGGTGATGATGATGTTGATGATGAATTGATGTTAAAGTATATTTGCTGTTCAGTTTGCTCAACTTCCAAAAATTTTATCATTATCGTCGTCGTCATCATCGTGATGATCAGTATCATTACTGCCATAAAAAAATACACGACATTTACGGTATTCAAATAATTTGTTTGTTGAGCGTTTATTGTTTGTTTAGTAGCAAAATCCAAGCAAAAAAAAAAAATGCAAAAATGTGCCCCTTAGTAGATGTGTACATGTCACTGAACAATTTTTACTTGTTTTTCTAAGTGTATTGGTTTTATTTTGCTTTTTTTTTTTGCTGCTTTATTTCTTTATTTTTCATTTAGTTGTTTTTGGAGAAACACAAGCAGAAAAAAACTGTTTTCAATACGGGCTGGATACATAGGGCCCTATGGGGCATCTATTTCACTGCAAGAAAAAACAGTCAATTTTATTTACTTTTTTTTTCGGTGTTGCTATACGATTCATGGTCTCTATTTAATGTGTTTATTTTTGCCCCACCTTTGCTTGAACGCCGGTGTTCGGCCCATTTCATTCTAGGAATAATAGATTCATTTTATGAAAAGGTTATAACTGAAGAATAAATAATAATAATGAAGCAAAAGCCTTTGAACTGGAGACCTGTGTTTGTTGTTTTGACTTGTTGTAAAACAAAATTTTTTTTGTCTTTTACAGTCCTTCTGTTATGTGACATTAAAAGAGGCACCATCTATATTACATTCTCCACTATTCCTTATCAATACTTCTAACTATTTTCCCCTTTTTTCTCCATCCGTTATTGCAACTCTGAGAAATAAATTGTACTAATCAGGCCGATTATAACCTTAACAAATGAGACTGATTCGGGAAGTTTTCCGGGAACGACGGGACAGTCACGGGTGAGAGATTGGGGAGGACGAAAACACTTGTTTGTTGCACATTTGCAAAGTAAGAAAGTAAAAGTTTATCGTTTTCATGCAGCTAGATAGATATCTTGATTTAAACAAGAACAAAAACAAAATAGCAGTGAAACTTTCAATTTGCTCATTGTTGTTGGCGAATCTTTGTTCAGACCCGTTGAGAAACCAAAAAGCGAGGTTAAAAGGTGAGGAGAGGAGAGGAAAGTAGTTTTACTGTTCAGTGATTTTTTGTAATTACACCAATCATTTGCCATTAAAATGTTAATTTCATTAGTTTTTTCATCCTAACGATAATTTGAGCGATAATAAGGGAGGGGCGAAAAAAAAGAAAAGCAATATTTGAAAACAGAAGTTTCGAGCAGTTGAAAACACAGTTTTAAGAAAAATCATTGTATTTTTTGTCAGTTGCTCAGTCCTACCTTTTTTTTATTGTGCTTTAATATTCAAAGGTGAGTCATAAAAACACGTGCTGATTGCATCGATAAAATTGCAGTTTTTTGAAGCAAAATTAGAAATAAGAGAAGCATAAAGAACATAGGCTGAGCTTCATTTTACTTCACTTTATCCTGACATATTTTGCTCCTACTCTCACCTTCTGTTGACAAGTCGATAGATCAATTAAATATCTGCAGGAACATATCATTTTAAACTTCATTCTTTAATCTATAGCTCTGCTCCACCCTTAAGCGCAGAGGTCTTTGATTTTGAGAGCATCAATAGGTTTTTATCCCAATCGCCAATGTAACTTAACTACCATTGTAAATGTGGAACAGAGCTGAAGGTCCGGTTCAGCTTCTTTATAAGGTGAAAACAGCAGAAAGTAATATTGAAAAATGAGTTTCATAAGTCTTTTCCTCCAAGAAGAAATGAAGAGGAAGAAAGATATCCCCTAAATATTTTTATACATTTATATATAGCCATGGATATGAACTTCGCCACAATTTATTGCTTCAAAGTGCAATAACAACAGCACTGAGAATGGCAAAAAATGTTAAAGTTTTATAACTTTTTTTTTTGAGGAAAATCGCCACAATCATTTCAGATCTTATTACCTAACCGGAACATTTCTCTACGCTTTTCTGTTCACAGAACAACAGCCAATTCTGTTAGCTTCATTGCCGTGATTGCTCGCGAAAGGCATCGTAGGAGAACAGCAGGTCACTGTAGCTTCCCAAGGGGAAACCAACGAAGTAACAAAAAGATCAATTCTAGCACGTTTAGCCAAAAAATTACGCCCTGTTGAGCTTATGGGGACCAGTAAATCTAAAGGCAGAATTCTTGGTCCAATCATTATGCAAGCAAGGATTTGGGTGGGATGAAGAGTTACCAGAGAAGATCAAGAAAGAATGGAGAGTAATCCAAGAACCATGGAATAAAGGAGAAAAGTACTCCATATCTAGGAAATTAGATGTTTCTCTAGGAGAAGACGATATCGAGTTGCACGCATTTGTCGACGTCTTGAAAGAGGCCTGTATTTCACGGCTAAGTGACAAATCTTAAAAGCTTAAAGACAACTGTTGTAGTTGGCCTTCTATTCTGCTCTACAGGGTCTTTGTTTTCTTACTTGGCTTTACTGTGGGCAGATTTAGCCTCTATGCTTCACAATACGAACAAAAACTCCTTACGCTTATCTTTAGATTCTCGAACCTTCAGGTTTTTGATCCACAGGAAAGGGCTTTGTGCCAGTGATTAACTTATCACTTCATTTAGATCTTTAAGCACTTCGAGCTCTGCGATTGCTTTATCTTACAAAAATTGTACTGTATACTAATTACTTTATTTACTGCGAAATTATAAACAGTTATGAGGTACCTGCAAATCAGTCAAAAAGGAAATAAGAAATGAACTTGACAGACGAAAAGTTATGAGTTAGCAAAAGACAATTACAATGTAGAAGCACCTTGGATAAAAATACAGTCCTGTAAACGAAGCTGCCCAACTGGCACAACTGAAGCTGTTCTCAACGAATTACAAAGTGATGAAGACAAAATAAAGAATATAAATTTGGGGAACAATTGATACAATAAGCCAAATCCGGTCTCAATTGATAACGATAATAATCAATTGTGATAACTTCTGTCCTTTGCAGCCTTTAACCCTTGATCTTGCGTCCGGTCAAGTCTGCAGCTCCTCCCAAAGCTTCCTTTCGGGGAGCCTACAGTGCCCTCAGAGTATCTGATAATGGCTTTCGCGCATGGTTACGACACTCCGGGATCCGAAGCGGACCAACAGCGCCTCGTATAATTGAAATTTTGGGGGCTGGTTTTAATTTTGAATGAACTAATAAAACTCTTTAAAAGGGAAAAGGGTTTAAAAACAACTAAGAAGAAAAAATTAAAAGATAAAACATAACAATAAATACATCTATCAATGAAAAATTTGTACAAATGTACACTTTAATATTTTGATCACAGGTATTTCAACTTTCCTCTTGTTGAAGTCCCTGAAAAGAATGCCCCACTTGTAGGCTTTTCAAAAAAAAGAAGTTTTTTTTTTGAATGAAAAACAAGAATGAAAGATAAAAAATAAACTAGCTGACTCTCGCCAACAACAAGTGAAAAAATAAAAAAAAAAAAGAAAACAAATAAAAACTTATTGGCACTCGCCAATTTCTGTCAAAAAACAGTGACAGTTTTTTTTAAAAGAAATAAAAACATAAAAATTAAAAAAAAAAAACAACATAGTAAAATTTGTAGCGAAGTCAAAATTGTCGGTGCATGTTTCTGGTGCAAAGAATCACAAATAAGTTTAGTTAAAAGAACACTTCCGAAACCCTACGACGGTTAAGATTGCATACTTTTTTTTCTTGCCTTTTGGAAAACAGAGAATAAGCTCCCTTTTGGGAGGCCAAAAGACAGGTTCGCTCAAAAGAAAACCTTTCAATTATTTTTTGGGAATTCTAAGGTTGATAGTTGTCATTATTCTCGGAATCATCTATCTTAATCGGTTGTCAATGAGTTTTTCTGCTCTATAAATTAATTTGAAATTAATTTGAATCTGCTTGAAATATTTTTTGACTAGAGCTTTGTTAAAAATTAGTCAATTTCAAAATTGTATTTTTAACTTCTGTTTAGATTAGGTAAAATTTATTGTCCTGAATTTTTCTCTATCTGCCTCACCTTATCTTTTCTCTCACATATCTAAATTTCAATAAGTGCTGGTGGAATACTGACAAAATAATATTGTTATATCCTAGTTTTCTTTCTTTCTCGGAAGAAAACTATTATCCTTACCGTCCGGTATGGAAAAAAAATTTTTTTTTCGAATGAGATAAAAATTATTCCCTAACTGCCTCTCTACCCACATAAAGGAAGTAGATACAGTAAAGCTTAAAGTAGGAAATCAGGTCATAAAGAGCTCGACGTAAGAGAGCTCTTTAGATTAGAATTAGATTACGGTATTTCGATAAAAGAGGAATCAACCGTAATAGGGGGGTTTAGTGAAGCCTTGAATTAACTCAAATTGTTGACCAAATACTCGCTGTTAGCTTCTTTAAGCCAATAAGGAAAGCCGGTGCTATCAAGGTGTAAAAAAAACTTTTTTAGATTTTGATTAATGACAATATAAGTTACTTTAGTCAACCCAAGATAATGAGTAACAGTAGTTATATAATTGACAGTATAAATAAAATTGTTCTATAATTTCCTCCTTTGACTTCTCGTCGTCCTGGTTGATGTGCTGCCACGCGGGACGTACTTTTCAAATACGTTTATTTCAAGAATGCGAATCAGTTAGTACAAAAACCTCAAACTTGGGTAATTAAACCATAGTACAAAACCATAAAACGAAGCATACGAAATTAGAACATAAAACATAGCATACGAAATAAAGCACTAAAATCGTTAGCAGAGTTAATCGCTCCAAACTTGAGCCCGTCTCCCAACCGTGCTTGGCCCGGTTAAATAGTCGCCTTTAAACTGGGCGGGGTTGATAGTCTCTTCAGGTCATACCCCGCCAGTATCGACCTGCTCCATGATATCATTCCATAAACAGGGGCCGCTTTCCCACAGCTGAATTGGATCCGCTAATCCTTGTTTCTTGCTCCCCAGCTTGGGTAGATCGCTTCAGATCATCCTCCTCCTGCCTCTCAGGCTTGGGAGCGTTCGCTAAAGGCGACAGATAGGTTTAAAAGCTTTTTCAACTTAGGAGCGTTAATTTCCGGAGAATCGACAATAAACGGAGTGTTTTTCCAAACATTCACTGTTTATTCCAGTAGGTTTTTGTTGTGCAAATCAATGATTTGAAAGCTTACATCATTCGCATGTTTAACATCGAGGACATCCCGAGTAACCGCATCGCCTTGTTTTCTAACAGCGTACTGACAGCGTCAAAAAAGCTGTAATTCTTTCTGGATTTGCCAAACAGCCCAATGCAATTCCCTTCAACCCAAAATTAGATTCAAAGATGTGAGTTATCAAGTATGGCAACAATTGAGTAAAAACCTAAGATTTTAGCTTCATTTTCACAAAGACTGAATTATATTCCTTTAAAGAGTTGATTCACTTGGCTCGCTAATTCTTGTAGCAATTCTAGCTTCTCTACTTCTAACGGATAATTTACTACGGTCACTGCTGTGAACTAAGGGTACTTCTCAGTAGCTGAATAGAGAGACGGCAGGATTTCAACAGCAATTTCCTCTTACTAAATTGTAATTCAGTGTCCAGCTAATTATCGTTAATAGAGCCCGAAAGAAAAGTATTAGCGGTTTTACGCTTGAAAAAAATACAAAAATGTTACAGCAACAACCTGAAGGCTAGTAAATTGGTACGTTTTAATATGACAACTCCAGTGTAGCATTAAAAAATTATGCATTTAGCTGGAAAGAATCGAGATTTTTTTTGTTGTTCCTTTGGCAACAGCAACTAATTGGGAAATCACCAGTAATCTTTATTCTCCTGACACTTAAAAAAGGAAAAGGTATTAGAATGAGCCAGAGAGGAGGGACCGAAATGGTAGGAAGAGCGCAACACCGTACAGGTACTTAACGACGGTGAAATTTTGGGCTGCGAAGAAACTGTAACCAACATTCTCGCTTCACCTTTCAGTCGTTTTTGTACGACGAACCCCCCTTACTACCTGCATTTGCATGCGTCAGTCCCTTGTCAAAAAATCTGATCAGCAAAACGAAGGAAGAACAGCAGCAAATATTTACCCATTATAAATTATTATTCTTCACTTAATTTGAAAGTAAAATGTAGATGCTCTCAGCGTGTTCGCGCAGCCCACAGTTGAAATGGATAAAATGTTAGGAAAACTGTTCGTAAAACCAGTGTACAAAGTGGAGTTTTGTTTTAATTTCTACTCCAAAATCCATAATGTTGAAGACATCGGCAAAACTGTATGATGTAAAATCCACAACCATCGCTTTTTTTGTCACTTTGGTGCCACTTAAAATCCAAACATTTTATTCAGAAATGATGCACACTGGAAAAGAAAGAAAGCAAAGATCACTGTTCTACTTTGCCAAGATTACCTAGCAAGTGGTGGACGGTTGAATGAGCTGTACGGACCCCATGGCTAGTTTGAACTGTAAAAACTGCATTTGAAGTATTTAACCTAGTGTGGTATAAACTATTTTCAGTTTCTGCTATTGCTAATAAACCGAACAGCAACGAATTATTTAAAAACCGCCGACAGTGCAGAATCAAAAAAGGCTGGAATATTTTGTCAGCAAACCGAAACTTGGCATTCAGCGACTGAAGGCTTCTCTTGAAAAACATCATGGTATCCTACCATGTGTAAGCAGATGCTCTGAGCGAGCTCGATGTAGTCTGTGTTAAGCCATCTACCTCAATGAATCAAAAACGAGTCTGTCACAACAACGAGAGACACCTGCATTCAGACCGTCATTTGGAAATCTTTAGACCTACTTCTAAGATGTTCAATCGGTTGAACTCTCATCTATAGGAGAACAATCTTAATCTTTCAAAAATTTTAAGTTCTGGGATGCACACTCTGTCGTCAACAAACTGAACAACCTGAACAACCTTTAACGACATTGTTGAAAGCCACCATGACTGCCTCAAAACTCTTGCCGAAATAGTAGATCAATACAACTAATGCTAGTGAGGCATACAGTCCCATTACTAGTCCATCAGACGCTACCGTGAAATGCCTCAACCACGACTTGATTAACCATGAGAGACTCAGGGCACACTTTAGAGAACCAGCCCTTAACCAGTATAACCAACGTCTACTCACTCAAACTTCCGTCTCCATAACTGCTCAGCGATATGTCTCGAAATCCAATCGCATCCATTCTGTAATAAAGCACAGTCGTACAGATGTTTTCCAAAAACTCACAATATTCATTCCCATACACAATCCTGGAAGATTTATTTGTCCTCTAATATAAAGTCCAATTTTTAATCATTATCCTTCTTGTCAAAATCCAATTTTCTGTCCTATTTGGGTACAAAATTAAGAACTGGACAGTTCCCGCGCGAATTGTCGTCACTGAAGAGAAACATAAAGGCTCCCTTCTGGTCGAAGAAGAATCT